AGAAAAAATTGTATTCTATTGAATTTGTAACCCCCAAGAGAATATTGGTTGGGAACGTAGATTTGGGATATACATCTATATGAAATAAATTGTGAAAACATGAACAAATTACAAATATAAGGAAGTAGCACGTGACCGAATATGTGTTGAATCGTCATTGAATTATACTATGATGAAAAATATGGACTTTATGGGGTCTCCAATTTACAATTTAAATGACAAATAAAATTAGTTCCCATATTACGGTAATGGGTGTAAAATAGTAATTATATTTGACTATTCTGAAATCAGTCTGACCTCAATTATGAGGTGGATAAAACTATTTTTACTTATTTTAATCACGTGATTTTTTTTTTCAGTTTGACATGCTATGTTGTTCTGCTATATTTTCGATTTGGCCTCTATTTGTCATCTTGGATTATGGTGAAGAAAGTTTTCAATGTAGGTCGATGTTTCGCATTTTACCATATTTCAAAGGATTTGGCTAAAAATGTGTATTTGGGGGTAAAATCTTACACAAAAATTTCAACATATCTACAAATTTTAGAATTTTCTCCATGTAATAGTACCCCCTCAAGTCCACCTTTTGGTGGAAAAACAGACCGAAATGGTTAGGGGGACTTATGAGGACTCTAATGCACAATCTGAGGTGCTAATGGGTTTAAAAAAGTAATTAACTTTGGCTATTCTTAAATCAATTAGCCTCAATTATGAGGTGTACAAAGTACAGTAAATTCCAAATTAGTGCTCATTTGGCTAAAAATTAAAAATGAATCGACCAGTACGTGAACACTTATAACATTCATATCTTTGAATAATTATGCTTTGACAAATATGCATAATAGGCAAAAATTACGGGCCGGCAACGCGGACCGGGCCAGCTAGTAATAATAATAATAATAATAATAATAATAATAATAATAATAATAATAATAATAATAATAATAATAATAATAATAATAATAATAATAATAATAATAATAATAATAATAATAATAATAATAATAATAATAATAATCATAATCATAATAATAATAATAATAATAATAATAATAATAATAATAATAATAATAATAATAATAATAATAATAATAATAATAATAATAATAATAATAATAATAATAATAATAATAATAATAATAATAATAATAATAATAATAATAATAATAATAATAATAATAATAATAATAATAATAATAATAATAATAATAATAATAATAATAATAATAATAATAATAATAATAATAATAGTAATAATAATAATAATAATAATAATAATAATAATAATAATAATAATAATAATAATAATAATAATAATAATAATAATAATGATAATTTAATTAATTTTGTAAAATATCATGTTTTTCCATATTCTATGATAGTCACCCATTGGGAGGTAATTCTATTTTGTGCTAGGTGACCAGCTCTCAGCCAAAGATTAAACACGTGTCACTTGACACGTGCTTTTTGGCGCAACTTGTCATAGTAGTTTACAAGGTACCAAAGTAATTGAGTAATTCGCAATTTACATATTTCTTCATACTCTACTCTGTAAAATGCGGGAATATTGTTTATCAACAACGTAAGTATATGAAATTGGCCTAATAATTATGATTGATCGAATAAATACTAGTACTACTATACTACTGCATATAATATTATGTACATCAATTGTAATAAATTAAATTGAATAAAAGTACAAAACCAGATAAGATCGATAGTGCCGAACCTTTAATACCTTCTACCGATGAAAAATGTGCCACAAATCATCAGAACTCCGAATACTGGGGGTACATTTATATGGGGACTATATCCAAACTGGAATCTGTATAGACAGTTCTTTGCAAAAATATGACTTACATATTTTTGGCGGGACGACACACTAAAATGGCGGCTACATTCAAATGTCGACCAATATGGCCCATTTTCAATACGGATCCAAAATGCATCTCATCAAAATTGTATCAACCTACTACATCTCGTTCGGGAAGAAGGACGGACGGATATGATTAAATTAACATAGAATCGTATGCTGATCAAGAATATATATATGTGCGACGTTTAGAAAGAATCAGATGCTTATTTCGGATTTTATGAGAGATATAATTATTTAAAATGTTGACCCGTTGCGAGGAGGTACAAGCAGTTGTGGACCGTATATCCCACCTTCACGCCAGATATTTCGAGAAAGATCGAGATGTGTGAAATTTAAAGAGAATCAAACTCTTATTTAATACAGGGTTGCCCATATTCGACGGACCTTTGGGCCCTTTGGACCCATTCCAATCGACGATGCTTGTCCGCAGGCAACATTCTTTGCGTCAATTGAATTTTGTACGGGAACAAATGCAAATCAATGCGAATAATCCGTTGCAAAGTGGACCAAGCCATGCCCAACTGCTGAGAACGGCGTTTTTGGGATGTTCTTGGGGACCTCTCACACTGGCTCGTACGGCAGCGATATTCTCGGCCGATCGCCTTGGTCGACTTTTATATGGCCTCTTCGGATTAGAAAGAGCCTTACCAGTCGAAAATTTTTCGTATAAACGCTTAATGGTGTTCTTAGAAGGCGCACTTCTCACATTTTTTAATATTTTAAAATCACGTTGAGTTTTCACAATTGACTTCTTCTGTTGAATGTAAATTTCAACTATTTCAGAGCGCTCGCGTGGCGTGTATTGGTTCATGGTAAAAATATGCTTGGACTGACGCTTCAAACGCGGTATGTCATTAAGCGATGTGACATCTCTGTCAAAAGTTATGGCGTTGTCAGATGGGTCCGTCGAATATGGGAAACCCTGTACTTGCCTATATCTTGCTAATCAGTTTTCAAGACAATTTCACATAAAAGTTGTGGTCCTAAGTATAATTTAATGGCCATCAAAATGGTAGGCCTGGCGCGTCCTGGAGTCTAACCACATGCAAAATTCCGTGTCGATTGGTTTTAAATTATGAACTGACGGACACACATAGCTAGATCAATTCAGCCTGGCGAGATATAAATATCCATATATAGTTACCTATGTGCAGAACCTACAGGATGAGATAAAAACAAGTAAACAATCATTAAGTTCGGCCGGGCCAAACTTTTAATACCCTCCACCTTAAGGTAAAGGAAACATTAGAACCCATTGTGTTCCACAAATACCAATTTGTAGACATATACGTGGAAAAAGGTCGCAAAATCATCAAAATATTGAATATCGGGAGGTACCACTATATGGGGCTATACAAAAACGTGAACCTATACATACAATATTTCGGCAACGGAGCTAGAACCCATTAGGACACAAAAATACCAATTTTTAGACAAATCCGCGAGGAAATGTGGCAAAAATAATCAAAATACGGAATATCTGAAGGCACCGTTATATGGGAGCTATACCAAACGTGGACCTATACATACAAAGTTTCGCCGCCGCAACCAGAACCCATTATGACCAACAAATTCCAATTTTTAGACAAATCTGTGAAAAAATGTGGCAAAAATATCTGCAGTTACCGTTATATGGGAGCTATACCAAAACATGGATCTATAATTACAATTATTAGCCACACGAACTGGGACCCATTATGACCTACAAGTATCAATTTTCAGAGAAATTGACAAAAAAATGTGGCAAAAATAATTAAAATACCGAATATCGGGAGGTACCGTTATATGGGGACTATACCAAAACGTGGACCGATATATCTCATTTTCAACACCAACCATCCTAGACACATTACAAATTGCTCTGCTAAATTTTGGCGCTCTACATCAAATATTGTGGACTAAAACGTGATTTCAACAGACAGACAAACAGACAGACGGAAATCGTTAAATCGACTTAGAATTTTATGCTGATTATGAATATACATACTTTATGGGGTCTACGACGAATATTTAAGGATGTTACAAACGGAATGCAAAGTTAATATGACCTATCTTCCAAGGTGGAGGGTATAAAAACAAAGTAAAACGCCATAATTTTTACATGCACGACTTATGGCCTTCAAACGGGCAATGAAACCCGAATGTTGCTCTGCGGTATTTTGGCCCATTCCCGGCAAAGCGCTTGCTTGAGGTGATCGACACTTTGTTATTTTTTAGTGCCAAACTTGCTTTCCAAATACTCCAGACACAATAGTCCAGCGGATTGGTATCCGGAGATTTTGGTGGCCATTATGCGCTGGAAAGCGAGCAACCTCATTTTGTAACCATTCTTGGGAGGCGCGTACTGAGTGCGATGTTGCTGAGTCCTATTGGAATGTCCAAGGTCTGCGGCAAAAATGTTTGCGTGCCCAAGGCTTTAATACACCCTCCACAATATTTTCTCGATAGTATTCGGCATTTATTCTGATGCCACGATCGATTAATACGAGCGGAGAGCGACCATCGGCTATTATGGCGGCCCACACCATCACCATGGCCGGCGCTTGAGTTATGGTGGCCAACCGGACGAGTGGCTTAGAAATGACATCAGTCTGAAGTTGGTTGCAGTTTTTTCATCTCATCTCATCTTTAAAGGCGTTACATAATTTTGGCCAATCAAACTTATAAATCAAACTTTTTTGTTAAACATAACGCAAGCAATGGGTATAGTTATTGAATATCCAAACCAGTAAGTTGTTAACAACTGTTCTTCACCAGAAGTTACTTGGGATTATGTTACATTCGCAATGTAGGGCTTAGCTGATTGTCGCCACGGCAAGATTATAATTACATTCACGTTTCTTAATGTATTTGCATTTTTTGACGTCACACTTGAAAACGTTTTCCACATTTCCAATAGGTCGACACCAACCTCATGTGGACATATCAATTATGGCAACTTGTGGTGACGACGTTGAGTATCTACTGCGTGTGCATCAGCATATAGAGACAACAGCACCCATCATCAAACACTTGCAACTGCATAGACTAATTCAAATTGTTTTTGTTGCAGATGCAAAGTAATTGATATCTCATATCAACAAGATGCTAGAATCCAAGTGCCGATCGCAACGCTTATGGAAATTAGTTGCAAACAAGACGCGGCTCAGTGGAGAACAATTGAAATTAAGGCAATTTATAATCGCCTTTCATCTGGATTTTGAAGAAAATAACAGAAAAAAATCTAAAACAATTGGTTACTAACATATTAATATGTCATCATCATTATCGTCGTCGTCGCCGTCACCGTCACCGATTCATTTGAAAACGTTACAGACATCGTCACCATCTGTAAAATTCATTGAAAAATTAACGGATAATGAAAAACGTGACTTCCTCAATTCATTCGATTTAGTGTTTTGTGATTGTGATGGTAATCCGTTTCGATATCAAAAATAGATCGAATTGCAAACAGGGTTTAAAGATATTTTAATTATTTCCAGGTGTCATTTGGCATAATTTATATGATATTATACCTGGTGCTTCCGACGCAATTCAATATTTACGTGACAATGGCAAAAAAGTGGTTTTTGTAACAAATAATAGCATTTCGTCGACAAAAGATCAATTGAGAAAATTTTCCACCAGCAATATTCCAGTGGAGGAGGTAATAATCAATTGTTTTTAAAAGCAGTGAAAGTGTTTCTAAGAATTTAAAAGACATTTATAACACATTCTTATATTCGTCAGTAGCACCGTCAATTTACCAACATTCTATATCCGATCGTCGCGAAATTTTGTCGGCTCACTAAATATTTTAACCCTCAGCCATACGAGTGTAAATATCATTTGATGCGTCAGAGATATGAGCCTAGTAGTACTGCGCACATCGCAATATTATAACCTACATTAGATCTAGTGTGAATATGGCACCGATAACTCTTTCTGGTACCTCTGGCCAAAATTTTGAATAAAACCTTTCGAAAATTGTGAAATAAGAGTCCAATATTGATCAAACTTAACAAGTCGCTAAATGTTGGCCTATATTAAAACAATTGAAAATTCGTGTGAAAATGGAACATAAAGTACACGCAGACGTTCAACAAATTTGCGCAAAAAAAAATTACAGAATTACCAATAAAAAAGCAGTAAGTTCGGCCGGTTCGAACTTTGAATACCTTCCACCATTTGCAACGAATTTGAAAATTTTCAAAAAAAGAAAAAAAATAAATAATTAAAATCCCATAAAAATATCGGGAGATACCTGGAGCTGCAAAGACAATTTTCTGTCACAGGATATAGTGCCTATTAGAACTTCAAATCTGAAATTTCAAACAATTTCGGTGTATATATTACCTAAAATCGACAAAATACCGAATATAGACAATTTTCTGCCATGGACTTCACTTTCCATTACGAACTCTAAATACGAAATTTGATACAACTCCGGTGGATAATGTCGCTAAAACCGTCACAATATCGAAATATAGTGGACATCTGGATTTTTAAACAATTCCATTGATAAATGTAGCTAAAATTATCATAATACCGAATATAGGGAGGTACATTTATATGGGATATATACGACACCGTGGACCTATAGAGACAATACTTTTCCAGGGGGTGAAGTACTCAAAAGGAACTCCTTGTGAAGAATTTCAGACAATTCGATTGAAAAATGTGGCTAAAATCATCGAAATACCGAATATCGGGGGTACCGTTATATGGTGGTTATACGATATCGTGGACCTATATAGACAATTCTCTTTTAGGGGACAAAGTACTCATAAGAAACTGCTTGTATGAATTTTCAGACAATTCCGTTGAAAAATTTGGATAAAATCATACCGAATATCGAGAGGCACCGTTATATGCGGGATATACGATATCGTGGACCTATATAGATAATTCTCTTCCAGGTAATACAGTTATCGCAAGGAACTCCTTGTGTGGATTTTTAAACAATACCACTGAAAAATGGGGCTAAAATAATTAAAATATTGAATATCGGGAGCTGTCGTTATATGGGGGACATACGATATCGTGGACCGATACTTGATCTTCCTGCAGACAAAAGACAGATTTGTGCAATATTTTAGCTTCTGTAGCGTAATTACAACAGACGGACGGAAAGTTGTAAATCGTCTTAGAGTTAAATTTTTACAGTTAGATTTTTTTGGTTCAAGTTCATAGATCTTCTGTATTGAATAGGTCCCCATAAACTTGAACCGCTAAATTAATGATATGTAAACGTGGAGCTATACATGCAATTTTCGCCACCGGAGCTAGAACCCATTATGACAAACAAATACCAATGAGAAAATGTGGCAAAAATCATCAAAACCAAAAATCGGGAGGTACCGTTATATGGGGGCTATACCAAAGCGTGGACCCACACATACAATATATCGACACACGAACTAGGACCCATTATGACCTACAAATATCAATGTTCAGACAAATCCGTGAAAAAATGTGGCAAAAATCATCAATACCAACCATCCTAGACACAATATAAATTGTTCTGCTAAATTTTGACGCTCTACGTCAAATAATGAGGGCTGTATCGTGATTTCAACAGACAGACGGACATCGTTAAATCGTTAAATTTTATGTTAATAATGAATATATGTATTTATGGGGTATACGACGAATACTTAGGGATGTTACAAACGGAATGACAAAGTTTATATACCCTCCTTTCCAAGATGGAGGGTATAAAAATATAGAATACTGGAAGTTACCTTTATATTGGGGCCTATTCGAAGATGTGGACCTGCATATATAATTTTCTGTCATAGGCTGTAGTACCCATTAGGAATTTTAAATATGAAATTTGATACAATTCCGGTGAATAATGTCGCTTAAGTGATCAAAATATCGAATATAGGGAAGTACTGCTATATGGTGGTGATGCGAGGACGTGAGCCTGTATGAACAATTTTCTGCCATTTCCAAATTTGTAACATTTCCGGTGAAAAGTGTGACACAAATCATGAAAATATCAAATATTTGGAGGTACTGTTATATAGGGACTATACCAGAACTTAGACCTATGTTGGCATTTCTATGCAAGGATGTTTCTTACATAACGGGAACACACAACCTAGTTTATTTCGTCCGAAAGCTAAAGTGATTTTCAAAGACGGACATCGCTAAAGCGACATAGAATTTTATGTTGATCAAGAATATATATCTGAAATAGAAGGCTAAACTCTATACCTACGCGAAATTCCCCTTCGATTCCTACTGGATGATATAAAAAACTGCAACAAAGTCACACGCCATAATGTTAACTTTCATTCAATTTTATTGAATGAAAGCAAAAAATGTCGGAAATAGCATCAAATTTTAGAATAAGTTTCGATTTGTTCGAATTTGTCAGCTTTGGCACGAATTATGGCCTTCAAACGGCCAATGAAACCGTCACACGCTTCCCGAATGTTGCTCTGCGGTATTTTGACCCATTCCCCGTGCCAACCTTGCTTTCCAAAATACTCCAGACACAATAGTCCATCGGGTTAGTATCCGGAGATATTGGTGGAAATTGTGCGCTGAAAATGAAGCGAGGAACCTCATTTTGTAACCATTCTTGGGTGGCGTGCTGAGTGTGATTGTGCTGAGTTCTGTTGGAATGTCCAAGGTCTGCGGCCGAAATGTTTGCGTGCCAACGCTTTAATATAATAAAATAATATTTTCGCGATAATATTCGGTATTTATTCTGATGCCACGGTCGATTAATGGTGTGGCGGCCCACACCATCACCATGGCCGGCGCTTGAGTTCTGGTGACCAACCGAAGGTGCACATTTGCAGCTGACCTCTTTGGCAAGTAAATACGATCAATTTGTTTGTTTACAAACTGCTGGACCACAAATGTTTTCTCATCGGCCAAGCGAAGCAACGCTTTAGCTCTTTTAAATATATTTTCATTCTATTGCTGAGTAAGTTCTTGAATTTTTTGGAATTTCAATGGCTTTACCCCGAGCTCATTTTTCAATATTTGCCGAATGGAATTTTTCGATATGTCACTGCGACGTGGGTTTTTATCAAGTCGCTTCTTTAATTTTCGAACCATTTCTGCTGATGTTGCTGTTTTCTTCCATCCTCTTCCTTGACGTCGGGCTACGCTACCAGTATCATGGTAACGAGCGATGGTACGAGACACAAAAGATTTGTTCACATTTAAATGCTGGAGTGCTCTAACGATAGCCACTTGTTGTTTTTCAGCCAAATATAAAGAAATCACACTATCGCGCTTGAATTCCATCACGAATAATTCGTTTTCTTATAGCTTAACTTTCAAATGATATTCTTTATATTTTCAGCAAGATTTAATACATCCAGCGAAAACCATAAGTGATTTTTTGAAAGATCAGGATTTTAAAGGATTAATATTGTGCTTTGCATCGTCAGCGTTTAAGCAGCATTTGCGAGATAGCGGATTCGACGTTGTAGAAGAGGTGAGTCTTATTTAGGATATTTCTTATATTTGGTATAGGATGTGTACTTAACAGATAATATAAATTGTTTTAGTAACATTTTTGGCCATTTTGTGTCGGTAACTAAAGGGTGATTTTTTAAGACCTATAGGAAAACCCCACAAAAATTCGGAAATTTTTTGAATTGATAGTATGGTCCATATAATTGAATGTTTTACGATTGTTTTATGCAAATATTGTCGAATTTGATTAACAATTAACACTTTAATAGAAACAGTGTTTCACTTTTCCCTCTCAACAGAAAGAACGTTTAATAGATGGCTCCGTAATGGATTTACACAAAGCGATTTATAATAAAGACCCCGTCAAAGCAGTCGTAATCGATATAGACTTTAATTTAACTGCCTGGAAATTGATGAGAGCTCAAGTGCTGCTTAAAAATCCCGAATGTTTGTTCATAGCTGGTGCTGCTGATCCACGTATTCCGTTTGGTGGCCATGAACTTCTGGGACCAGGGGCCTTTATGTACATTGTTGAAGAAGCAAATCAACGAAAGGCTAAAGTCTTCGGTAAACCCGGTGCGGAACTGGGTGAATTGTTGAAATCCTCATTCCAAATCAAAGATCCCAAAAGGGTTCTTATGGTCGGTGACAGCCTGCGTAGTGATATACAATTTGGCAAAGAATGTGGCTTTCAGACATTGTTAGTATTAACTGGTGCAGTTGAGGAGAAACATTTGGAATCACAGCAATTGAACGAATTGAATAGCCCAGATTATGTGATTGAAAAATTGGCCGATTTAAAAAATTTAATTTAGTGACTATGGAAATACTCAAAGTTTCAATTACAAATATATTCAATTGTTTGAATGCATAGAGTTTTAATATTATGAAGAACAGTATATTTGTAATTAATTAAAAACTGGATTTGAATAAAATTTTATAGATAATAGGCATTCGAAATTGTTACAAATATTTGGAAATACAATTTAAAAAATAAAATTTTATGATTGCAAGTTATTGTAAGCTTATACTTTCTATAATTTAGGGTATATATGACTACAAACAAATAAATTATAATATTAAGTGGACAACTTTTGGGCGCAAATAGTTCAGTAAACCAGTTCTTAAACGTATGAGTGATTTCATAAATGTCGTATCACTCATACGCAGAGTTTTAACTATCGAAGTCCACGCAACTAGATAGGGAACTAGTTCGTTCAATCGAACTAGATTAGCACAACTCAAATTGTAAAATTTCCATTAAACCCTAATCGAGTTCAATATATTGTTGGGTGTATAAAAATGTGTGTGTGTGTATTTTCATTGTGTCGCTCAGTGCTTAGTCGCTTTCCCATGTTAGTTATCTTACAATTGAAAGCCACGAATTAATCGCCAGACTTGATAACATGAATATTGCTTCGTAACCGTCATCACGTGTTAACAAACTAACTATTCACGTTCCGATAAGGAAATATGGCACAGTAAATTTACTGCGAATAACAAATGATAAACTCTTTTAACTACCACTCAACATAAATATGTTTGTTTACAAAATTAAAAACTAATAATGATTCTGCACAAAAAATAAAGGCAAAGAAGTTACCTCTAGATTTTAGCAGTGCAGGAAAAAATAACCAATATTTAAGTGCATTTTCATATTGGGATGTAGAGTATCTGAGGCAAGCACATTTTACTACTAGCTTATTGTAGTCAAACTATACAGATTTCTAAATATAGAACTTCATAGAGTTCTTCATTTTTTAAACAAGTAAAAATACATTAAGGTATTAAGGCATTAAGAAGAATATTTAGAGATGTGGAAGTTAACACAAATATACAATTTTTTTTTTAAAGTTAGACGTAAAGTTATTATTACATTCGTATTGTGCAAGAATTTTCACTTTTTTTCCCCTTTTTTAGTCGAAATTCCAAAGCGACAAAAATACTACAAATGGTCTGTTCCAGAACTGCAAGAATGCAAAAGTTTTTACTGCTCTTTGTGATATCGAGAAAATCTGCAAAACTAGTAGTTTTTTTGCAGGTACCTGAACAGAGTAATGACAAAAAAATACAATAAGAGAAAAAGCAGTCCACCATTTGGAAGGGATTTGCAAAATTAAAAAATAGTTTGAATAATTCAGCTAAAATCATAAAAATACAGAATAAAGTAAGTTATTGTTATATTGGACCTGTATCGAAGACATGGACCTGTATATGCAATATTTGTCATAGGCCATTATAATATTCATATACGAAACTTGAAAGAATTCCGGTAAATAATATTGCTAAAATCATCATTAAGAATTTCAAATTCCAAAATTTCCAGTGAAAAGTTTTACATAAATCATCAAAATACCCAAAGTCTGAAGGTACAGTTATATGGAGACTATATCAAAACTTAGACATATATTGACTGTTCTATTTCAGTACATTTATTTGGGGGCTATACCAAGACGTGAGTAAAATTTTATCAACCTTCTTTATTTCGTTCGGAAGCTGCAGTGATTTCCACAGGCGGACAGACAGACAGATAGAGGGTCAGACATCGCTAAATCGAGAAGTTTTATATTTCGAGGTGTTACAATTGAAAATGTAGATGAGGTTATGGTCAGAATAGAAGCCTATTGCTTTTGGAGATAATCGCATAAGATTTAGGCGTTGAAATAGACCAAAAACTAAAAATCCTGATTTTGCAGTTGCTCTACAGTTCGAAATTATAGACCAATAGACACGGAATTTAGCATGGGGCTAGATCTTAGGGATGTGCAGAAGCCTTCCAATTTGGGTGGTCATCGGATAATATTTAGTGGGTGAAATAATCCATAACATTTGTGTTAAATAAAAGTAAAATTTTCCGTTGAGCCGCGAATATTTTTAATCCCGACGAAATCACAAATGGACGAAAAGGTCACTTCTAACCGTTTCGTAGATGCCGATAGTAAATATATCGGATGTATATAGCCAAATATATACAATATTTATATACAAAGGAAGGAGATGTTAGCTGGAATGCTTATATCTCAAGAATGGCTGGACTAATTTTGAAATTTTTTTTCAGTTCAGAAAGTCCACTTGGCATAAAAGCAAAAATAAAATCTATAAAATCATTAATTTTTTTTATTGTTTTTCATATTTTTTATCGCATGCGATTTTTTGAATTTGACTTATAACATTGAAGTGCACATTTTGCAATATTTTTTCAGCTTACAACAGAGGTTAATGTAATTATATGCAGGTTGGGGTTATTATATGCAGATTGTCCGATCCTCACGAACATTTTCAAAAAGATAGGATTAGAAGGGTTAGGCCTATTGTTTTTAAAAATGTCCGCAATATCTTTGGGGGTTGGACCAATGGACAAATAAAAAAGAATCCTAATTTTGCAGCCGTTATAAAGTTCACAAATAGAAACCAAAGGATCGAAACTCCTAAAAAGTGTTCAGTTCTTAGGTTAAGCTTTTAAAAACTTTTCAGGCCCTTATAAATATAAAACTACCGAATAAAATCATAACAAGTTAAAAAGCAGTAAGTTCGGCCGCGAAGAACTTTAATATCCTCCACCATTTGGAACGAATTTGAAAAAATCCGTTAAAAATTCTGTTAAAATCTTAAAAATACCAAATATAGCCGTTTATTGGGGTTAATACGACGTGGACCTACATAGGCATTGTTTGTTATAAGCCAGGAGCTATACGAAGACCTGGACCTGTATAGACAATTTTCTGTCACAGGCTGTAGCATCCATTACGAACTTCAAATACGACATCTCAAACCATTTCGGTGTGTATTGTACCTAAAATCGCCAAAATACCGAATATAGTGAGGTACTGATATATTGGGCCTATGCAAAGACCTGGACCTGTATAAACAATTTTCTGTCACAGACTGTAGTTCCCATTACGAACTCTAAATACGTAATTTGAAACTACTCCGTCGAATATTGACGCTAAAATCATCAAAATACCGAACCGTTATATGGGGGTTATACGAAGAGGTGGACCTGCATACACAATTTTCTGTCTTAGGCTGTAGTATACATTTCGAACTTCAAATACCAAATTTGAAAAAAAAAATGCGGTGAATAACGTCGCTAAAATCATCAAAATAGCGAATATCGGGAGGTTCCTTTATATGGGGTCTATGTGAAAACGTGGACCTACATGACCCATTTACGAACTTAACCAACCTAAATCCACGTAGAATTTAATGCTGATCAACATAATATATATATTTTGTTGGGTCTGACATGAGTATTTCGAGGAGTTACAAACCGAATGACAAAGATAACATACCCTCCATGATGTGGTGGAGGGTATAAAAATAACGAATATTGAGAGGTACCGTTATATTTGGGATATACAAGAATGCGAGCCTTAGTACAAAATACACAATTCGTTCGAAAGATAGCGTAATTACAACAGATAGGCGGACATCACTAAATCGACTAAGAATTTTACGCTGATCAAAAATACACATACTTTCATGGGCCCGACATGTGTATTTCGTGGAGTTACAAACGGTAAAGGCATAAAAAAACAAAATGAACCCATTTGTGACTCTTTCGAAATTGTTCATCCAAATGATCGTCGTATTGTTGTTAACAATGTTGCGAAGACACCGTGTACCTAAATGATCGGATTCCAGTGAATTTTAATCCGAAATTTTCAAAAAAAAAAAAAAAAAAAAAAAAAAAAATGTTGTAGAGGTAAAAACTTCTTTATTAATGATGCTTTCCAATGTAAACTTACAAAACGCCAATAAACATGTCTTCTGCTTTTAGCTCCACTTTCATATCTGCCTATTTTTTTCTATACCTAATCAATATTATTATAATAGCCATTTTGAAGAATAAATTATTCCGTAAAAAATCAAGACATACTATTTTATTAGGTCTACAAAAATCCTCATCTTTCAAAAAGTCAGTGCTTCATCAAAAATCTTATCAAGAATCCGTGTTTGAATCCATAAAAATATTTTTAAAACAATTCGGTGGTAACACTCATCACGTGTACACTAACTGCTCACGTTCCGATAGCAAACAAATAGCATGTGAAATTATCTCATTAAAGAGCGATAACGATTTGTTTTCCAAGTAAACACCCAACATAAATAAATTTGTTTACAAATTCAAATTTGGAATGATTTTGCAGAAATAGATTTATTATCAAAGTCCATTTAGAATTGAATTAATTCAGGTCGCCAGAGGGATTGCTACTTATTAAGAGCACATGCATTTACATTTTTACATTTTTTTTTTAAATTTTATTGAATGAAAGCAAAAAAAAAATGCCAGAAATAGAAAATTTCTTTCTGTTGCGGTGTAAGTTCTTGCAATTTTTGGAATTTCAATGGCTTTACTCCGAGTTAATTTTTTAATATTTTCCCGAATGGAATATTGGGATGTGTTCAGCTCATGAACCATTTTCGGCCACTGCGACGCGGGTTTCGATCAAGTCGCTTCTTTACTTTACGAACCCTTTCTGCTGAAGTGGCTGTTTTCTTCCGTCCACTTCCCTAACGTCGGGCTACGCTACCAGTATTACGGTAACGAGCGATGGTACGAGACACAAAAGATTTATTCACATTTAAATGCTGGAGTGCTCTTAGATAGCCACTTGTGGTTTTCCAGCCAAATTTAAAGAAATCACGCTTGAATTCCACCACGAATAACTTTTTTTCTGGAAAATTCTCACCAATATGCTTTTGGTATTATTCCTAAGTAGTTGTGTAGAATTTTCAATAAACATATGCTATATATACTGGTCTAGTATTTTTTTAAACAATGAAAGGAATACGAAGAGAAACAAGTAAGCAAAGGGTATAGTCGTGCGGGGTCGACCATGTGATACCTTACAACACTACAATATGTTGGAAGCCCCTTATGTCCAAATCCATTTTGGAATATTTCGTTTTAGAAATTTTGTCATAGAGCCCTGCCCAGATGTTATCCATAGGTTTTTGGGTATTTGCCCAATATTTACGAACTCCATCGTGTTGTTAGGTATTCAAAACCATTTCTCTCGAAAGTTGTGTGCATTTTACAGCTAAATACAAGGTGGCGCAAAAGTAAACATCCAATGTTTTTTGACTGTGATTAAAAATAAAAAACTTTGATTCTTCTTATTGTTGTTTTTATTTGGTCTTTAGTGATGTAAATGGCCGCCGCCACAGTTTATTGTCATTTGAGCCCTTTTTATGGCATTTTCCATCACTTTGGCCAAAACTTCTGGCGATAGATCGTCACATTCTTGACGGATATTATCTTTAAGAGCTTAAAGAATATGAGGCTTGTTGACATAAAATCGCGACCTCAAAAAGCCTCACAAAAAGTAGTTTTGAGCAGTCAAAGCAGGCAATCTTGCTGGCCAGTGCAAATCGTAAAAACGGGAGATTAGGCGCCCGGGAAATATCGATTGAGGCACATCAAGTGTGTGCCGTTACACCGTCCTGTTGGAACCACATGTTTTCCAATCCCAACTCATAAATCCGTTTGGCTCTCAATGTCTTCGAAAAATGCCCGATGACTCCTCCAGCGAAAACAGCACAGTGTTTTTGAGCATGTGGAATGGCTCTTCGCGGATTTCCAGTGCCCCAGAAGCGTATATGTTGCTTATTTACGTATCCGCTAAGATGAAAAAGCTCCTGATCACTCATGATTATTTTTGATGGAAAATCATCTTCTTCTTTGTGGTTATTAAGGTTGGCTTGAGCGTATGTTAGACTCGATTGACGGTCAGCAGATAACAGCTAATGCACCATCTTGACTTTATACGGAAACATCTACAAATCATTTACCAAAATCCGGGGTCTGCCCCGACTGGCTTCATCTTTTGTTGCTCAAAAACAATAGACTTTTATTCCGACTAAAAACTAGTAACTAAAATCATCAAAATACCGAATATCGGAAGGTACCATTATATGGGGGCTATACAAAGACGTGGACCTGCATCGACAATTTTCTGTATTAGGCTATAGAATTCATTACGAGCTTCAAATACCAAATTAGAAACATTTACGGAAATAATGTAGCTAAAATCATCAAAAACCGAATATCGGGAGGTATCCTTATAGGGGGGTTATACGAAGACGTGGACCTGCACAGACAATTTTCTATCTTAGGCTATAGTATCCATTGCGTACTTCAAATACCAAATTAGAAACATTTCCGGTTGATAATGTCGCTTAAATCACCAAAATACCGAAAACAGGGAGGAACCATTATATGGGGGCTATACCAAAACGTGGACCTACCCATTTTACCAAAAGTCCTGCAGACATAGTATACATTTGAGTACAATTTTCTCAACCTACTTCATTTCGTTCAAAAGCTATAGTGATTTCCACAGACGGACAGACGGATAGACGAACGGACATCGCTGAATCGACATATAATTTTAAGAATATATATACTTTGTGGGGTCTAAAATGTGTATTTCGAGGTGTTAGAAACGGAATGACAACCTTATGGTGGAGGGTACAAAAATTTTACAAAATGTACAAATCAAAATTATAAGTGAAATATAGGAAATCGCAAGCAATTATAAATTTGACAAAAAATATAAATAGTAATTTTTTATTGCTATATTTTTCTGGCAGGAGTCCAGTTCGAATTGGTAAGAATTGTCCAAATCAGTCCAGCGGTTTTTGACTTATAAGAGGAATAACTAGCATACATTTCTTCTACATTTAGATTGTAACTATTTTGCTATGTACCCGCTATCTAGGCTACCAGTATCACTGTAACGGTCAGAAGCCACATTTTAATGGATTTGTGATTTCGCCGGGATTAAAAATATTCGCGTGTTAGTGGAAATTTTCCTATTTTTACATAAAAATTATGGTCTATTGTAGCCGCTAAATATTGTCCAATGAGAAATAAATGTTTGACTTCTGGCCAACCCTAAGTACCTGCAAAATCTGGAAATTTTTCTGTTTTTGGTCCATTTTTACTCCAACTATTCTGACCCCGTTCTCAATTTGCGGATCGCGCCATAATTGGGACTTGCGTGATTACAAATTAACATGGACAGACGAACGGACGGACATTGACTCAGCTTGGCGAGATAGGAAGATCCATATATAGTTTCCTATGTCGGTGACTAATATTTCGAGGTGTTACATAAAACTTATAATACCCAAAACACATAGTGTTGTAGGATATAACAATGCTATTGCAAATCTTACTAAAATAATTACAATTCCAAGTATCGGTAAGTTCATATATATGGGGGATATACGAAAAATTACTGGAATAACAACCTTAAAATAAAGTTCACAGAATTCTATATTACCAGTGGACTAACTGGTCGTTATGAAATTATATAATTGTTCTGAAATATCAAATATTGGGGGTATCGTTATATGAGGGCTATACAACATTGTGGACCGATATAATACATCCTCTAATATGCTCTCCATGAAGATTCAGGCAGAAAGACTAATAATAACCGATTTGTCAAATAAATTTCGATCCAAAAGTTGTTAATGCTCCCGATAATAAAACAAAAATTAATTTAGCTTTTTTTTTACTTTTTACTATTTTTGAAAAATAAATAAAATCAAATTTGTTTTCAAATAAATAAATTTTTGTATTAAAATAAATTATACTACAAATTCAAATTTACAATTATTCCTTAAAAGCTAAGCATGTGATTTCTTAACATCATTAATAAATTCAACAAAATCATGCATACTATTGGCATAATAATTTGGTATAACATTTTCATCGGTTTGTTGCAAAAGTTCATCGAGTTTGACGCCACCGCTTAATACCAATAGCGTTTGAAAGCCACACAGCTTGCCAAAGCGAATATCCTGATCCAACATATCACCGATCATAAGGGCACGACTAGGATCGCTAATGCTATAACGTTTAAGCAATGAATCGGCCAATGCTTTACCAGGTTTTCCAAACAGCAGCATTTCTTTGCGACTGGAATCTTCTAACACTTTTAGAAAGCCTCCCGGCCCCAAGACGGACAAGTCCTTTGTTACTGGCAAAGCATAATCACTGGCACCAGCAATGAGCATGCAATCCGGACGTCGCAGATAAAAATGCGCTCTCATCATTGTGGTCATGGTGAGATTAAAATCAAAATCGATAACAACAGCTTTGACGGGATCACGACTAACCACGACGCCCATAAGGTCTCGGAAAGATTCTTCAATTATTGCATGGGGCTGTAAAGGGGATATTTGTTCAAATATTTGTTTTTTTTTTGTTAATCTAAAATTATTATAAAACTCACCCCATCAATAATTTGAAAACCCTCCTTTCTCAGAGCATTCTTAATAGATTCACTTGCAATGGCATATATCAAACCCTCAAATTTAATACTTTTCAGGTACTCAATAATACTTTTAGATGGATGAATGAGATCATTCTGAAAATAGAAAAATAAGAAGAACAAAAAAAATAAATAAATTATAATAAAAACCAGTAAAGAAAGGTCAAAAGTCGGTCGGTAGCAGGGCCAATGCCAGTCATGTGATAAGGCTGTTTTTTGGAAATTCTTTCTAAAAGGGTACGAAAAGCACTAAAATATATTAATAAATTAATACTTTGTATTGGACAAATGGAATGAGCTTGAAATTTCGAATGAAAGTCACTGATGGAATGCAGGATAAATGTACCAAAGGGTTTTTGGAAATTCAAACTTTAAGGTTACAAAAAAATTCTAAAATAGCACAAAACTTCAAATATGGTTTTTTATTATGTGAACGAATAGAGCTAAAAACTTGAAATTTTGTGTGAGAATCAATGTTGAAAGGTAAGTTTGACATATGAAAGTGGTTGTGGAAATGTGTACTGAGTGTGCGAACTGTACTAAGAGGTACTAAATATGGTACAGTTTGGTTTAGAGTTAACGGATGATGCTGGTATTTTGAAAATTTGTATTGGGATCCCTCTTGGTGGTAGGTTTGTGATAAAGAGGTGGTTTGGAAAGTGGGTACTACAAGTGCACGAAAATTACTAAATGGTACTATACTTGATACCATTTGGAATTGGATGAAGATATAGTTTTTCAGCTTGGCATTTTGCATTGAGGTCGATGTTGAGGTGAAAATTTGTACTAATATTGTACGAAAAGTTCTAAATGGTACTATATTTAGTATTGGATGTAAGGATAGGGCTAGAATTCTCAAATTTGACCTTGAGGTCTCTCTTGATATCTGGAATTGAGACATGGAGGATGTTTCGGAAATGGGTACCACAAGTGCACGAAAATAATTAATTGTTACCATATTTGGTAAAATTTGGTATTGGGTGATCAGATAGTGCTTGCAATATAAAAGTTTGTCTTAGGGTCATCGTGCATGTGCAGCCTTGAAATATAGAAGTAGTTTTGGAAATGTGTACTATAATTGTACGAAAAGTACTGAGTGGTACTAAATTTGGTATTGGATTAAGGGATAGGGCTGGAACCCTCAAATTTGATATTAGTAACTCTGTTGGTATCTGGAATTCAGACGTGTAAATGTTTTTGGAAAAGTACAAAATGGTGCAAAATTTGGTCTTGGTTGAAGGAACAGAAACGAAATCCTCAAATTTGATATATGTGTCACTTTTGGTGTCTGTGGTTGGGAGAGGGAGCTTGTTGTGGATATGCGTTCTATATTTGTACGAAAGTACTGAATGGTACTGTCTTTGGTATTGGGGGACGGAGCGAGACTTCTCAAATTTGATACTGAGGGGTCTGTTGGTATCTGGAATTGAGAAATGCGAACTATGATTGTAAGAAAAGTTCTAACAAGTACTAAATTTGGTCTTGGTTGAAGGGATAGGGTTGAAACTCTGACATTCGATATTGAGGTCTCTGTTGGTGTCTAGGGTTGAGAGAAGAAGCTAGTTTTGAATATGTGTACCATAATTGGTGAAAGGATAGTGCTGGAATTCTGAAATTTGATGTGGATCTCACTGTTGGTATCTGAGACTGTTTTGAAAATTCGTACTATAATTGTTCGAAAAGTACCAAATGGTACTAATTTTGGATAATTGTTGGTCTCTAGGATGTAAATGTTACTAAATTTGGTATTGGATGAGGAAATATATATTCATATTGAAGTCACTGTTGGTTTTTAGGGTTTACATATGGAGATGTTTAAATAGTTTTGGAAAGAATTATTGGATATGGCTCCATTGTGCAAAAACTTGAATTATATATAAAACCTTGAAAGTCTGAACATTTAGTACGAGGTATGAAGTTTCGATTAAAAACTTTTGGCAAACTAAATAAATTGTGAATTTTAAGTACTAACAAGTAAGCAAAGGCTACAGTCGACCGTTGAATACCCTACAACACTGTAATAAACGATACAGTTTATATGGGCGAGATACTCGAAAGATATTGTGACAAATAATAAAAGAAAACCATCAGGTTTCGTTCTCTAATTTTCGAATAATAGCAACTTAAACTAATTTGCTCATTTCCAATTTATTGGTAGATGTTGCACGTATATGGTCTTCCTAGATCTGGAACCAATATTTCCCAAAGACCTATAGTCTGTCAGAAGTGGCAAAAGATTAACATTTATTATTGGTTTTTGACTGAAACGCATCTATATGAGATACAGCCATTTGACTATATTCTTCAACGAAATCAGCGTTAACGAAATAGTCAGAAGTGCGTCTTTCCTGTGTTTGTGAATTCTCCAAAAAGTCACTGGAATGGACATTTTCGTATTTTGTCTACCAAAGTTGGCAAACTATTTCACACATCGAATATTTTTGGATGGCCATCCAAAACTGCTTGGCTTTTGCAATGCCCGGTCACCCCCATTCAAATGTGTGTGAGGATTGGGTGATAATTACGACCTGCTGACAATTTTGCAGTTTTTTGGTACATTTCATTTTGTGGCGATCATTTCCAAAAAGAGTAGGCTTCTATTCTGACCCTTATCTTTTCCCCATGCAAAATTTCATAAGGATCGGGCCATAAATGCGATCTGTATATGATATCCTGATATCGTAACTACTTAGTTTTGTTAGCTGTAGAAATATTACCAAATGTTTAATTCAAAATGAAAATATTGCAAAAATATGACAAAATTGAAAAATATGATAAAATATTACAAAATCAATATTTTCATCTTTAGAGAGATATTTTTATGAGATTTTTTAAGAGGTTTTTTCTTTCCTGCCAAGAGGCCATTTTGAATTATTGAGAACTGTCGAAATCAGTTCAGCCGTTCTCGAAATATAAGAGTTCTTTCAAGCATATCTTCTTTGATAGACATATATATATCGCACATATTTTGCTTTATATCCGATTTGTTGGATGTTAACATCAATGTAAAGATCAGAAGTAACCTTGTCATGGCTTTGTGATTTCGCCGGGGTTTAAAATATTCGCGGTTTAATGAAAAATTTTGATTTTTTTCAACACAAAAGATATGGTCTATTTTACCCGCTAAATATTATCCGATGACCACCCAAATTGGTAGGGTTCTTCACCGCTCTAAACTCTGGCTACATGCGAATTGGTCTATAATTGCGACCTGTATAGCTACTGCAAAATCCGACATTTTTTCAGTATTTGGTCCATTTCAACCTCTGAACATTTGGTGATCATCTCCAAAAGAAATAGGGTTCTATTCTGACCCTAACCCCACCTTCGTGCAAAATTTCGTTAGAATCGGGCCATAATTGCGACCTGTAGCGTGATTACAAATTAACATGGACAGACGGACGGACATACATAGCTAGATCGACTCAGCTCGGCGAGCTAGGAAGATCCATATGTACTTTCCTATATGGGAAACCAATATTTCGAGGTGTTACATAAATTCTGGCCCAATCAAACTTAGAATACCCCCAACACATAGTGTTGTAGGGTCTAAAAATTAATTATTTTAACTTAAACTAAACACTTTCATATTTAAATTAAACACTGTCATATTTTCGAAACATTTCACTTTCTTTTATATATATATCCTTCGAACTTACCGCATCAATTTCGATGTTAACTTTCTTTAATTTCTCCAAACATTGTTCCTCTGGTCGGACACTGTTGTTGGTGATGAATGTTAGTTTTTTACCCGCCTCACGTAGGGCATTAAACCCTTCGCCGCTACCTTCGATGATATTTGCAACATTCCAAACCACTCCTGTATGAAAAATAAGAAATATTATTAAAGCTATGATTTTAATATTAAGTGATGTACTCCACCTACCATCAATATCGGAAAATACGTATTCGAAAGAATCCAAAAATTTGCGTTTTTCTTCACCGGATAACGAAAGAATGTTACGAGGTTGTGGTATCTGTAAAGAAAATTAGTAAGTATTCATAAAAATAAATACATACACAACTTTAATGATAAAAGTTTATTCACGTGTAGACAAGTTATAATTCACGTTCAGACCAAATACGTAATATCAAAAGTTTATAATCTGATAAGTAAACAAAAAACATTTCTATTTTTGTAAACAAACAGTTTATAAAGAGAAGGTTGAAATGATTACACGAGATTTAAATCTTAGACCACACGGAACCACTAAATGGAGGGGAACAGTAGTATTAAAATTCGTACACTCTTCAAAAATCATGAATTATTATAAGAAGCATTTGGGAAACGAATTTTGCATATAAGACATTTCTTCATCATGATTTAGTCAGACATATAACCGCAATATGGGTACTAAATTTAGTTTTATTTCTAAAATAATCGCAATCGTCTAATTTGACATTTATATGTAAACACATTGTCATTCAACGAGGGAACAACATAGATTGTAGCGAAAATAGAAAGTTTTTTTACCTCGAGCTTAATAAAACGTTGTATTATTACTGATGCTGGTCATAATATTAACATTCTGAATCAAATTTCGAATATCTCATAAAATAAATTTTCCCTCTATTATTTCTTTTTCAGGAGCTATGTCCTATGAATATTTTGAGGCGTTGCAAACACGTTTTTGTTTGGTTAAATTTGCTCGAACTGTCATATTTAACTGTTTAATATAAAATATGTTCATACAATCTTGTGCTACTGGCAATAAATTACACAGATCAAATTTCGTTCTGTCTTTCCTTAATGCAACATTTATTTTAAACCAAAATTGGAAGGAATTATTCATCAAATCGTCGTCTAACATGGGATAAAAACAAGTAAAAAAGCAGTTAAGTTCGGCCGGGCCGAAATTTTAATACCCTCCATCATTTGGAAGAAACTTGAAAATTTTCAAAAAGCTTCTGGAAACTACCACTTAAATGAAAACTGTTGTATGGAGACTATACGAAGACGTGAACCTACATACGACTTTTTTGTCATAGGCTGTAGTACCCGTTACGAACTTTAAATACGATTTTTTTACAATTCCGGTGAATAATGTCGCACAAATCATAAAAATACCGAGTATTGGGAGGTAACGTCATATGGGGATATACGAAGATATAGATATGCATACAAAAATTTTTGAATATAAACCTCAAATACGAAATTTGAAACATATCCGGTAAAAAATGTACCGTTATATAAGGGCTATACGAAGACGTGGACCTGCATAAGAATTTTTTTCCATAGGTTGTAGTAACCATTAAGATCTCCCAATACGAAATTTGAAATATTTTCAATTCATTGAGTATCCAAAGTTTAAAACTACTTAAAATTAAAATATTGGCGGAAAACTTGTAGAATATCCAAGGCAATTTGGAAATGCGACTAAGGGTTCAAACATACTAAAACCGGGAATTAAGTTTAAAAACTGAGCTAAGTTTTCATATTTTAGAAAGAAACATTTATTCTAGTCATTTTAAAGAATATTCTGTTAAAAACATATGAGAAAGTATCAGTCAGTTCAGTGTCAATTGTATTCTCTCAGCGTATGGTTTGAGCTAACTTCGTTTTCTTGGAAGTCTTTAAATTTTTTTTATAGAAGTAGCAAACAATGTCCTTTCTTGATACCAGATCTTATATTAATAGAATAACGGTGATTTTTTGGCATAATATCAGCTCACTCACTTTTTGTGTTTTGTCTGATTGAACATCTGCAGTTTGGTTACATTTTCGTCTAATTATTTCCTACGCTACACTGTGGTACAGGGTATTATGTCTTTGTATTTTTTTTTTACATGAAATAGGAAACGAAATATGCTCATAGCTCCTTTTGATGGAATCACATTCAGAGTATATTTACAGGTCGCATTTATTGTCCGGTTGAGATGAAATTTTCTATAAATCATTTGTATAGCCCAAGAACGGATCCTATTGAAATTGGTGATAATCGAATCAGATTTGGATTTAGCTCCCATAATATAGTGTCGCCCGATTTAATAAATATAATATAGCTATAGTTTCCATATATATGTTTCATCCGATTTGTTGTTTAAATTCCTCACATTCGTAAAATGGACTTCACAACAATGATATTTGAAGCCAGATATCAGATATACCACAAAAATATATCTGCCAAATTTCACAAAGATCGGTTCAAATTTGGATATATATCTTTATCCGATTTTACATGTATTGTACTCAGATGGAGTATATTTACGCTCATACGACCGAACTCAGTCTAGAAGGCAAGTAAGGGTATTATGTTTATGTGCATTTATTTGTAATATAGAGATGGAGGCGAGATAGACCCATAGTTACTCTTGAGGACCTTCATAGAATCACTTTATGAGTCCATTTATGCATGTCAGTCCGTCTGCCAGTCAGTCAGTCCATCCATCCGTCTGTCCATGTATTCTTTTGAACAAAATGCAGGTCGCATTTATTATCCGATTGAGATGAAATTTTCGAAACAATATTTGTATGGCCCATTAAAATTGGTGAGAATCGGTTCAAATTTAGATATAGCTCCATACATATCATCAACCAATTTCGGGTTACTTGTGCGCCAAATGGCCAATATCAGTCGGACTTTGATGAAAATTGGTTCAGATATAGTTATAGCTTCCCTATATATATATCATCCGATTCGGGGCTTAGGCCCCTCACAAGCGTCACAATGACCTTTTGCACTCCACAACAAAGATCTTTGGTACCGGCAAAGAAATAAGTGTCTAGCTCCCTTATATATCTTTATTTGATTTCAGATTTATTACGCGCCAAATGGCTAATATTAGCCTAAATTGACTGAATTTTTCATTTGGGCCGAATTTTTCCATTTCGTAACACCGGCCCGCTATAAATAATTTATAATTTTTTAAATAATTTTTTCTTAATATAATTCTAATCTAAGTCATATTATGCATTATACAGCAATGTTATTTCACACTAGAGGTACAAAAGCCTCGATTCAGAGTTGGATATAATTCCCAAATTGTGACTACTCTAAAACCACGATTGCGTATCATGGTTTTAGAGTTCATAGTTGGTATGATCTACTTCACATAAATTCCCAATACAAACTTTTTTGTTACGGGAAGTCTACTAAATACGAATGGTGGTGTAGGGTATCATATATTCGGGTCCGACCAACTTTTGACTTTTGTTGTTTGGTTGTTTAAGTCACAATTTAAACCCGAAATTGTTCCCAATATGTAGCAAACATCCTTGCGTAGAGCTGTCTATATAGGTTCAAGTTTTGGTATAGTCGCCATATAATTGTATCTCCAGATATTCGGTAGTTGATGATTTTAGCTGTATTTTTTAACACTTTCTTCATTTCATTTTTCAACTTTTTTTATAGCTTGGAAGTTTTTACCAAATAATAGTTCGGCTCGGTCGAATTTAGGTGCTTTTTTACTTAGCTTTTATTTAGCGTTCTTATGAGAAATAACCCATCTCCAAAAATATTCAATATCAGCAAAGTTTTTTGATATGACGATAATAAATTCCCTTGTGTGTCTTAGATATAATTTATATTTTCCGCATAGTGGAGCATATAAAAAGTTCAGCCCGGAACATCTTTAGTCCGTATATACTTTTTGCGAGTTATGTGTTTTAATCCGCTTTTTCCATCTGATCACTTCAAAATGACACACTCATGCCTTCAAGTACAAATTTTGTTTGTTTGAAAACTTTACAAAGCCCATCCCGAAACGTTTTACTCATTTGGATTTAAAAATATAGGCATGCGTCACTTAAAATTACAAAGAAATTCTTATCAATCATCTTCTTTGAAATTTTGAATCACTTTGTATTTGCACCCATCAACCACTTTCACACTTACACGACTCATTTTGGAAATAATTTTACAAATGTCAACATTAATACAGACGCTACTTTGATTCGACTTCCGCTTCGAAGATCAGACTGCGACCGAGATCTAATAAGAACTGAAAACTGGACGTACAACGTACCCTCACCTAATGGCATTTGTTTATTGTTTTGCTGTGAAATGTTAGCCTCTTGAAACCTAATATTCTTCAAATGCACACGATTTTTGTTGTGCCGTTCCTCATATCGATGTTCACAATCTTATCAGTTTGGGGTTTTGTTTGTCGTTGAATGAGACGAACTACATATAACACCGTTTGCAGGGGGTAAGTATATGGAATGTATATATGCACATCAATAGCAGCACTGATAACAAGAGGTGACCGAGCAGAAGAGGTGGAGCAGAGAAGCGTATGTGTTAAAATAATTTATATTGTTTACTATTAACATATTAACCCTATGAGATAATACTGTTTTTAGTTCAATGAAAGAAAGGTGGACTTTATATTGGTGCAGTATATTTATAATTAATTTTTTTTATCATCTGCCAAATTTGTTGCACCCTACGACACAATGTAAGAACTATATTGCAACTTAGATTTGGTACCAAAATTGGTAACATACACGCAGAAAAATATATGTTAGAAATATGTTTGGATCCAAACATATATTTGTTTGGGACTGGTTGCAAACAAATATATTTTTGGATGCAAACATAATTTGTTTCGGTGCAAACAAATATTTGTTTGCAACATTTTGTAACATAACTCAATTTTATTTGTTGGGTACCAACATATTTTATATGTTAGAACATATTTTTTTATGGGTGCGGAGAGGATTTTTTTCAAAGAGCTAAACAACAGAGCTCTCGATTACTTTTGAATTGGTGTTATAGGTGACTTAAAAGAAGACAGGAGGGTGAGAAGTCTGTTTTTGCGTTGATGATGTGTTGGCTTGGTTGGCCGCACAACAAAGCAGAACCGAAACATTTTTTGCTCTCTTCCAAATATAACTGTAAATAGAAGTTGTATGTATGCATGAACATTAGTAAGAAGTAACGTCTCAGCAACAACTAGAAAATACACACCGCACAACAACAACAACGAAAAAACTTTTTGCATGTTTTTTCGTTGCTGTTGTGCGGTGTGAATTTTCTAGTTGTTGCTGAGACGTTACTTCTTACTAATGTTCATGCATACATACATACATTTGTTTTTCGCATTAACACCGACATATATACAGAGGAGTCAATTTTTTTGTGTGTTGTTGTTGTAACGTTTTCTTTCTCAAGTAGGCATTTTTTGGTGCATGGACAATAAAAAAGAAATAAACGTCTCAGCAACAGTTTCCATCCCTCTTGCCGCGCACACACCACACATAGTTCCATCAGCAATCGGCAGTGTTTGCTTGGTGAGAACAAAAGAGCGTAACATTGGCGCGTATCTCAACTTGAGTGTCTCAACTTGAGACACGCGCCAATGTTACGCTCTTTTGCTCTCACCAAGCAAACACTGTCGATCGCTGCTGTAACTATGTGTGGTGTGTGCGCGGCAAGAGGGATGGAAACTGTTGCTGAGACGTTTATTTCTTTTCTATTGTCCATGCACCAAAAAATGCCAACAACAACACACAAAGAGCTGTTTGGATGTTTTTTTGTTGCTGAGACGTTGCTTCTTACTAATGTTCATGCATACATACATACATGCGTTTTTCGCATACACACCGATTTGCTTGATGAGAACAAAAGAGCGTAACATTTGCGCGTGTCTCATGTTGGCATTCTGGTTGTGTTCTTTTTTTATTCTTTTTATTTGTTTTGTGCCTTCGCGTCGTGTCACAAGTGTTGTAATAAATGTTGATACCAACTGTTTTGTGGGAAGACAAATTATTTGTCGAAGCGCCAATTAGATAACCTGATTAATTATGTTTATTAAAAAAAAAAAAAATTGTTTTTTTTTTTTTTTTTTTTTTTATTTTTTTTTTCTTTCTTTTATTTATTTATTCGTCGACTTGCGACTAAGAGGATGGAACTAAGACTAACTTTTACATTTTTAATTTACTTATTCTACAGGTATTATTTGTTAATTAATTATTGCAGTGTTAGCATAAGTTTATTTTAAATGAAATTTGATTAACACACTTTTGTAAATAATTGTATACTCAGCTCCAGACAGTTTTAACTGGAAAAATAAAATAAAGTCAAACTAAAGAATGTCAAATTCACTTATGCTTACAGTGCAATAATTGTACACGTTTTATTGGCTAATTGTTTCCAAGAACTTATCAATTTTATCAGGGGTAGTATGATTATACGTAACTACTCCCCCCTTTAGACTAGAATTCTCCTGAATTCTTTTATTTAATTTTACAGTTATATATTTATGTTTTGTTATGATTATGAAAATTAAAATAATTATTACAATTACTATAGAAATATTACATACATATGTTATTTTAGTGTGGTATTTTAATTTTCCGATATTTCTTACATTGTATTGATGTTCTTTTTCAATTTGTTCGAACGATATCTTATGTTTAAAATTTTGAGTTTTGTTTGTATTTTCAATTATTTGTCTTTCTTTTGTAATTTCTGCAATATTTGAAAAATAATAATCTTTTATCCTAACTGAACAATTATTAAAATTAATTAAATAATTTCCATTTAACAAAATTTTTTCAAAGTTACAAGTTTGATTTACAGTCGTGTTTATTGCATTTTTAATTATAATTGTGTCTATATCTAACTGTATAATTTCAAAGTCTTTATTTTTTATCAATTGACAATTATTCTTTATTAAACAATGATGACTTAACTTTAAATCTTTTAAATGTTTATTCTCTTCAAATTTATAAGTTTTATTTTGAAATTCAAAAAATCTTTCCATATTAGATTCTATTTCATTATTTTCATTATCTGGTATTGGTACAATAAATCTTAATTTTACTGTTATAAATTGTTTAGGTATTTTTATTCCAAACACAAGATAAGAGTTGTTAAGAAATGTTGTTCCAAACTGAATATATTTAAGTTTGTTATAATCTATTTCATATTTTCTTATTTCTCTACTTGTTAAAATACTTGGGTGTACAATCCCGTATTTTGCAGAAATTACGTTGTCTTGCAAATGCTCTATCTTATTCTTAATTAATTGTATATTAGTCAATTGTTCTAAGTATAAACTTTTATTATTTTCTTCCTCTAAAAATTTGTTTATAGAGTTTAATTCTTGTTCTATTTTCTTTCTATCATTCTTAATTACCATCTTTAAATGACTTAAAGTTATATTGAAATAATCATTAATTACAATCTGTTGATTATTATTTTCCTTAATTTCATTAATATTAAGAAGATGTTCTTGTATGTTCCGTCTGTCTTCATCGTCCATCGTCCCAAATAACCATTTGGTCATACTTCCTATACCGTTAATTAGTCCACGTCTTTTTCTATTTTGTTTGGGTATCAACGTCATTAATTTATTTCTGGCATCTAATAGTTCTAACTCAAGTAATTCTTTGTTTTCGATTTTCATTAGAATAATGTTATCTGTTATGTCATCTAAAATTGTTTCAATTTCGTGAAGATTGATTATATGTAAAATTATGTCCGATTCATTAACAATTTTCTGATTTCCCATGCAAATGTCCATATATCCTCTTTGTTCTGTCAGAAATTTTGTAGTAATTATCCCTCTAGTCTGTGGTATCCATATTAGTATCATCAGTATTGTCCAAATCTGCAAATTTCAAAGGTCTTTTAATATTGCACGGATGTATTCGCTCCAGTTTTGTCTTTTTATATTTCGGTTGTTCCTTATGTCGGACGGCCTTATAATTTTTTATAAACCCTTCTTTTCTATTTTCCTTATAATCTTCTCTAGAGTTATTTATTTTATCTATTATTTTTCTTTTACTGTCCTCTAAATACTTTCTAACTTTATTTTCATCCATTTTTCCTTGTTGAACCTCTTTAGGAGTACATTTAATAGTTGAGTGATATCGTTCGTTGTAATTTCTAATTGATCTCTGAATTAATTGTTTCACCGGTATTTCCTTATTTGCTTTATACATTATCCTAAACTTTTCCGCAATTGTGTTGTGAAATCGTTCTATGTCGGCGTTTCCCGTGTGACTATTAGGTTTGGTCAGATGCAATTCTATATTTTCATTGTCTAAGAATTCCTTTAGTCTAGTGGCTTTAAATTCATTATCGGCTATTATTTTCCTTGGCTTCCCTACCTTTGTAAAATGATCATCTAATTGCTCCATTATTGTTAAATGATTTCTATCATTCAATGGATACGCTGCACCGAATTTAGAAAATTTATCAATTATTGTCAAAAAATGAAATCTTTTAATCACATATGTGTCAATATGTATTATTTCGTTTTTCGTCGACGGTGTTTCTGTGTATGAGAATTTCAATTTAATTGGATTTCTATCATATTTTATCTCCTGACAAACTTCACATTGATTTATAACTAATTGAATTAGTTCCATTAATCTTGGGTAATAAATTTTATTTTTTATTTGGTTATAGGTTTCCTGTATGCCCGAGTGCATACTTTCTTTTACATGATATAATGATATCTGTTTCACCGCCTCCACTTCTGTTTCTATATCTTGAGCCCTGATAGTGCATTTAATAAATTCCACTTGTTTCTCATTAGAGTACATTTCTATTAGTTTTTCCTGAACAGTATTATAGCTTCTCTCCGATACTTCCGAAAATATACCTATTTTTCCTTTGGTAATATACTTTCTAAATATTTCCCCCATTTCGTGAAAATCACTTTCCGCTATGAAAATTATCCTTTTATTATGTAGATGTTTTATTTCCTGAACTTTATCATTTGTAAGTATAATCTGTGTCCTGTACTTATTCACTATTTCTTCTTTTATAAAGAAATGATCTTGTAAATTTTCATCAGCTGAATGAATTGTAATCATTGATACATCATCATCATCCTCAATATTATTTATTATTCTCAATTCTGAATTATTCTCCGAATTTTGTACCTTATCTGAAATGGTATCATCTTCATTATCTTTCTCAATTCTACTTAGAAAATCTGCCACCTTGTTTTCCTTGCCTTTTATGTATTCTATATTAAAATCGTATTCTCCTAATTTCAAAAACCATC